TAAATTCCACTCATGATCTTTATTTTTTAAAGTAGCCAGCTCTTTTACAATACCTCCATTTCTGATGATTTGTCCTTTGTACTGTATGAACTGTTTAAGGATAAACTGGAAGTCTGACATATTTCATGCTCACAACATGCCATTGAACACAAATTATTAAATATTGTGTTCAAGTTATAGTCAAATACTGTATGGAAAATGATATTTACCATATACTATTCTTTCTATTGAGCACCTCAAAAAGAACAGTTTTGAAATGTGTATCTTGTATTTTTGCTATTGGATTAAATGGCAGTTAAAAATACTAAATGGTGAGCCTATCATTATCAGATGTATTGGATGGATTTTCCATATCTGTCCCCATCACTAGTGAATTTCAATGTTCGCACAAACATAAAGCAACTATCAAGTTTATGTTTTTTTCAGGCCCTTTACCACACTGCTGAATTTACTATTTACTACTGAACAATCAACCAGACAAAACACAAATGTTGTAATACAATCTGTATTCAAATTATTCCATACAGAGCACAGGCATATGCACTTTTCTGAAAGATGTTGCTGATGTGATTATATTTATTTGTGTTTTCGTAATCAGTTAGTCTCAGGGTGTTGTGTATATATGTATTTTGTTTGTAGCATGTGTTACAGTTGCATTTTTTAAAAATGTTTTTTTTTTAGCATGCTTTCATTTATACATAAAAATAAATCACAGGTTGATAAGAAGTATAAGATCTATAAGAAGTAATATAATTGTGTGGCATCTTGGGAATAAGTTTGAGAAACCCTTGGTTTTTGATGGATTTGACAGCTATCTTAGCAGCCCCATTTCACATGTTTATACATTTTTACAGGGGAGTGAAATATTGTTTATATATTATACTGTTGAGAAAAATACCCTATGGTGAAACAGGGAGACCGATGCTTTATAACATATCCAGAAGGCTTGTTCTGACAATAAACAAGCAGCTTTATACTTTTAAAGGATGTTACAATATATATTTTAGTTGTCAAGATATGTCAGGACTGTACTACTACACTAATACTACATTGTAACATACTACTACTGTACTACTATCCAAGATGGTAAGTAACCCTTATACGGATCGACAATGGCAGATTTGGGCACTGATAAGCACCTAAACTGGAACGCAGTGGCTGTACAGTAACAAACACCCAAATGTGCACTTCACATTTCCATATCATAAAACTCATGTCATATACAATGTCAATGTTTTTGATCACTATGTTTGATGTATAGTTACAAGATGACATGGCGTCATACCCTGGGTTGTTCTGAACAGAATGAGCCTATGTTTGTCTATTGTGAAGAAATTCGCGGCAGAACAAGCACCTAAATGCACTCATGACTCTTTTCTATGAACACCAAAATTACAATTTGTTTATCTGAATTGCCTTGTGAAAGCCTAATGCCCCGTGTACACTAGCACATGGTAAATTGCCGCGTGCCACTTCAGCCTCCCAGAGTGGCTCGCTTGTGGGTGTGCTGGCAGCATTTGGCCGTCATTGTAAATAAGAATTTGTTCTTAACTGACTTAACTGCCTAGTTAAATAAAGGTTAAAAAGCGCGTTTGATTCTGCGTCAAGAATTCAGCATAGCAAGTTTGTATGAAGGTCTGGTTATTCACAGGTAAATAGTAATATGCTCTAAACCGCTCTGGTAACAACCAAACTTTGCTGCCCTGTTTCTAATCATCCACATGGCTGGGAGAACCTATTCAAGTAAGTAAATACATTTCGAAAATGTAAAAAAACAACAGATTATTAGCTAACTAGCTACAGTGCAGGCTAACTCAAATGAGCTGCTAACGTAGCTAGCTAGTTATCTAGCCAACGTTTACATACTTTATAGATAGCTAGCTAAGTGAATTAAATGTTTACCAGCTACCTAACTTCATGTTAGCTAGCTATCTTTATATATTTATCACTGTAAAAAACAAACTCCAAATGCATTTGTAGGTAGCTAGCTAACAGCCATGGAGGAGGGTGAAAGGATAGCGGCCCCATCTGTCAAAGTGAGAGAAGAGAGTAGGCTATTCTGGATAGGGCAGATACTTGTATAGTTCCAGTCCCTAGAAGTGAGGACAGAGAACATAATATTCAGTGCTGTCTAATTTGAGTATAATTTAGTCTGTTTCCTGTGTGGTTTTCTGTCCTCAGATACAGAGAGATGTGAAAGCCTGTCTGCAGATGAATAGGTCCCTAATGAAGAGCAGTGGTTCTCAGTCCTGGTCCTGGGGACTCAAAGGGGTGCACATTTTTGTTTTTGCATTAGCACTACACAACTGATTCAAATGATCAAGTCATCATCAAGCTTCAAGTGGTATTTATGTATTAATTTGTGACACTATCCTTGATATGATCCTGCTATTGTCACATGCTACACATGTTATAAGGAATATTATACTTTAGTAATCCACAATGACCTGGTGATGTAAAAGTCTAATAATGACATTATCTTCCATATTCCTACAGATACCTTGTAACTGGAGATTCCTTCAAAACGATTGCCTACAGTTACCATGTAGGGCATTGCAAGGTTGGGTGACCAGGGCCATCTGGGACTGCCTCCTGGGGCAATTGATGACCCTTCTTTTTCAAGACCTCTGCAATCCGCCCTGGCATGCTGTCAATTAACTTCTGGGCCACATCCTGACTGATGGCAGCCCATTCTTGCATAATCAATGCTTGGAGTTTGTCAGAATTTGTGGGTTTTTGTTTGTCCACCTGCCTCTTGAGGACTGACCACAAGTCCTCAATGGGATTAAAGCCTGGGGAGTTTCCTGGCCATGGACCCAAAATGTTGATGTTTTGTTCCCCAAGCCACTTAGTTATCACTTTTGCCTTATGGCAAGGTGCTCCATCATGCTGGAAAAGGCATTGTTCGTCACCAAACTGTTCTTGGATGGTTGGGAGAAGTTGCTCTCGGTGGACGTGTTGGTACCATTCTTTATTCATGGCTGTGTTCTTAGGCAAAATTGTGAGTGAGCCCACTCCCTTGGCTGAAAAACAACCCCACAAATGAATGGTCTCAGGATGCTTTACTGTTGGCATGACACAGGACTAATGGTAGCGCTCACCTTGTCTTCTCCGGACAAGCTTTTTTCCGGATGCCCCAAACAATCGGAAAGGGGATTCATCAGAGAAAATGACTTTACCCCAGTCCTCAGCAGTCCAATCCCTGTACCTTTTGCAGAATATCAGTCTGTCCCTGATGTTTTTCCTGGAGAGAAGTGGCTTCTTTGCTGCCCTTCTTGACACCAGGCCATCCTCCAAAAGTCTTTGCCTCACTGTGTGCGCAGATGCACTCACACCTGCCTGCTGCCATTCCTGAGCAAGCTCTGCACTGGTGGTGCCTCGATCCCGCAGTTGAATCAACTTTAGGAGACGGTCCTGGCGCTTGCTGGACTTTCTTGGGCGCCCTGAAGCCTTCTTCACAACAATTTAACCTCTCTCCTTTAAGTTCTTGATGATCCGATAAATGGTTGATTTAGGTGCAATCTTACTAGCAGCAATATCCTTGCCTGTGAAACCCTTTTTGTGCAAAGCAATGATGACAGCATGTGTTTCCTTGCAGGTAACCATGGTTAACAGAGGAAGAACAATGATTTCAAGCACCACCCTCCTTTTAAAGCTTCCAGTCTGTTATCTAACTCAATCAGCATGACAGAGTGATCTCCAGCCTTGTCCTCGTCAACACTCACCTGTGTTAACGAGAGAATCACTGACATGATGGCAGCTGGTCCTTTTGTGGCAGGGCTGAAATGCAGTGGAAATGTTTTTAAATTTTAATTAAGTTACTTTAATTAAGTTCATTTTCATGGCAAAGAGGGACATTGCAATTCATCTGATCACTCTTCATGACATTCTGGAGTATATGCAAATTGCCATCATCAAAACTGAGGCAGCAGACTTTGTGAAGATTAGAATTTGTGTCATTCTCAAAACTTTTGAACAGAATGAGCCCATGTTTGTCTATTGTGAAGAAAATTTGCCGCAGAACACCACCTGAATGCATTCATGACTCCTTTCTATGCGCACCAAAATTACGATTTGTTCCTTTGAATTGCTTTGTGAACGCCTAAAACTATAAGATCGTACTTTATAACTTAGCTAGTCATGTTGGCAATAGAAAAAACTTTCAAATGATGCCCACCTGACCCAGATTGCGATTTATAATGGGCCGTTTTTCGATTGCGTGAACAACAACAGTAAGTGTGTGATGGTGGGGATGCAGGGTTGTGTTCCAAACAAAACAACTACAAGTGTGCTTGCTCTAGTTCCTCAACGGAACAGCAAGGAGAGCAAAACAAATCACCTTGTAGTTGAAGACTCTTGAGTCATAAAAGTGCATTGAAATTCCTTAGGAACTGTGGACACTTTTGAGAGTTGTGTGTGTGGAAGCTAGTGAGGACCGCGTCTGGCTACTTGGACACCAGTTAGTCCTCCCACTCAAACCCTTGTCATTTTTTTGTCATATGTTGCACCTACCACACATTTTCCAGGAATATTTGTATCATGTTACTGAATGTATCCAGAGTAGTTTTCCTTTTCAACAAATGCAGCGAAAAGTAAACAGTAAATGTAAAATGCACATAAAATTGACAGTGTAATGTTTGGATTCAGTCTTGTGTCAGGTGAACTGTTGTGTCCTCACCTTTGGTAAGATAATTTCCTCACAATCTCCAAACAGCTCTTTCAATTGCTACCATGCTTATGCATCTACTTTTCATATTTGTTCTGTAAGAAACATCTCAAATGTATCCCTATCCATATAGGCCAATTTCCATGAGTGTGAAGGGTTAATATCCATCTCTTTTTATACGACTTTGTAGGAGACACACCACATAAAAAGTTCAAGGTTCAATTTTTTTATCATATGCATAAAATAAAATGCTTACGCACAAGCGACCTCTCAATAATAAAAAGATGCATCACAATGTGCGTTATGTATTTCACATATCTTCCACTCCATAGGTAACATCCTTTTGGTGAACGGCATGGCGTGCGGAGAGATCAAGATCACCGACTTTGGCCTTTCCAAGATCATGGACGACGACAGCTACAATTCTGTGGACGGGATGGAGCTGACCTCCCAGGGAGCAGGGACCTACTGGTATGCACTTACACACACTTGCAAGTATGCACACGTACACATAAGCAAACAAACACACGCAAAATGAAAAAAAAAGTTGCCATTGCTGACTGTTGTAACACACTCAATCTACCGTTACTAATTGTAATGCCCTCTCTGCAGGTACCTGCCCCCAGAGTGTTTTGTGGTGGGGAAGGACCCCCCAAGAGCTACACCAAGGTGGACGTGTGGTCGGTGGGGGTCATCTTCTTCCAGAGCCTTTACGGACGCAAGGTAAACACACACACAAACACCACACTCAAGTAAACGCTTGAATGGATTCCCCTCTGCACACTATGTGCCCTTGCAATGTTTTGGTTACATCATACAGTGGGGAAAAAAAGTATTTAGTCAACCACCAATTGTGCAAGTTCTCCCACTTAAAAAGATGAGAGAGGCCTGTAATTTTCATCATAGGTACACGTCAACTATGACAGACAAATTGAGAAAAAAATATCCAGAAAATCACATTGTAGGATTTTTAATGAATTTATTTGCAAATTATGGTGGAAAATAAGTATTTGGTCACCTACAAACAAGCAAGATTTCTGGCTCTCACAGACCTGTAACTTCTTCTTTAAGAGGCTCCTCTGTCCTCCAATCGTTACCTGTATTAATGGCACCTGTTTGAACTTGTTATCAGTAAAAAAGACACCTGTCCACAACCTCAAACAGTCACACTCCAAACTCCACTATGGCCAAGACCAAAGTGCTGTCAAAGGACACCAGAAACAAAATTGTAGACCTGCACCAGGCTGGGAAGACTGAATCTGCAATAGGTAAGCAGCTTGGTTTGAAGAAATCAACTGTGGGAGCAATTATTAGGAAATGGAAGACATACAAGACCACTGATAATCTCCCTCGATCTGGGGCTCCACGCAAGATCTCACCCCGTGGGGTCAAAATGATCACAAGAACGGTGAGCAAAAATCCCAGAACCACACGGGGGGACCTAGTGAATGACCTGCAGAGAGCTGGGACCAAAGTAACAAAGCCTACCATCAGTAACACACTACGCCGCCAGGGACTCAAATCCTGCAGTACCAGACGTGTCCCCCTGCTTAAGCCAGTACATGTCCAGGCCCGTCTGAAGTTTGCTAGAGTGCATTTGGATGATCCAGAAGAGGATTGGGAGAATGTCATATGGTCAGATGAAACCAAAATAGAACTTTTTGGTAAAAACTCAACTCGTCGTGTTTGGAGGACAAAGAATGCTGAGTTGCATCCAAAGAACACCATACCTACTGTGAAGCATGGGGGTGGAAACATCATGCTTTGGGGCTGTATATCTGCAAAGGGACCAGGACGACTGATCTGTGTAAAGGAAAGAATGAATGGGGCCATGTATCGTGAGATTTTTAGTGAAAACCTCCTTCCATCAGCAAGGGCATTGAAGATGAAACGTGGCTGGGTCTTTCAGCATGACAATGATCCCAAACACACCGCCCGGGCAACGAAGGAGTTGCTTCGTAAGAAGCATTTCAAGGTCCTGGAGTGGCCTAGCCAGTCTCCAGATCTCAACCCCATAGAAAATCTTTGGAGGGAGTTGAAAGTCTGTGTTGCCCAGCGACAGCCCCAAAACATCACTGCTCTAGAGGAGATCTGCAAAATACCAGCAACAGTGTGTGAAAACCTTGTGAAGACTTACAGAAAATGTTTGACCTGTGTCATTGCCAACAAAGGGTATATAACAAAGTATTGAGAAACTTTTGTTATTGACCAAATACTTATTTTCCACCATAATTTGCAAATACATTCATTAAAAATCCTATAATGTGATTTTCTGGAAAAAAAATTCTATTTTTGTCTGTCATAGTTGACGTGTACCTATGATGAAAATTACAGGCCTCTCTCATCTTTTTAAGTGGGAGAACTTGCACAATTGGTGGCTGACTAAATACTTTTTTTCCCCACTGTACCTGTCACTGTCTGAAACGGTACTCTAGAACCAGCTGTGAAAGCGCTCTAAGTCTGGTAGCGAGGCTACCGAAACGTTACACTTTTCATATGTATTTGCTAGTCCAGTGTTTCCCAAACTTGGTCCTCGGGACCCCAAGGGGTGCACATTTTGTTTTTTGTTAAGCTTTAAGCTTTCAACAATGATCTTGACAGTCTTGGAGCTGGTAGGCTTTCCCAAAGAACTTGTCCTTCATTTCCCCTCTCTTTTTCCCCTCTATCGCTTTTCTGTCTCCCTCTGTAAAAAAACGCTTTCATTTTTTTCTCCTCTCCAGCCGTTTGGACACAACCAGTCCCAGCAGGACATATTGCAGGAGAACACCATACTGAAAGCCAAAGAAGTGCAGTTTCCCCCCAAACCTGTGGTCACCACAGAAGCCAAGGTACGCAATACACACTTGTATGTACACACACACACACACTCACTCTCCACACACAGTCTGCTAACCCATGTAATCAAAACACACAGCTCACATTTTATATATTTAGATGGCCATCCTTTAACTCCTCACAATCCTTTATATACCTTATTATTATAAGAATTCAGACCCTTTGCGATGAGACTCGAAATTGAGCTCAGATGCATCCTGTTTCCATTGATCATCCTTGAGATGTTTCTACAACTTGATTGGAGTCCACCTGTGGTAAATTCAATTGATTGGACATGATTTGGAAAGACACACACCTGTCTATATAAGGTCCCATAGTTGATAGTGCATATCAGAGCAAAAACCAAGCCATGAGGTTGAAGGAATTGTCCATAGAGCTCCGAGAAAGGATTGTGTCGAGGCACCAAAAGATTTCTGCAGAATTGAAGGTCCCCATGAACACATTGGCCTCCATCATTCTTAAATGGAAGAAGTTTGGAACCACCAAGACTCTCCCTAGAGCAAGCCACCCAGTCAAACTGAGCAATCGGGGGAGAAGGGCCTTGGTCAGGGAGGTGACCAAGAACCCGATGGTCACTCTGACAGAGCTCCAGAGTTGCTCTGTGGAGATGGGAGAACCTTCCAGAAGGACAAATATCTCTGCAGCACTCCACCAATCAGTCCTTAATGGTAGTGGCCAGACGGAAGCCACTCCTCAGTAAAAGACTTGACAGCCCACTTGGAGTTTGCCAAAAGGCACCTAAAGGACTCTGACCATGAGAAACAAGATTGAACTCTTTGGCCTGAATGCCAAGCGTCACTTCTGGAGGAAACCTGGCACCATCCCTACAGTGAAGCATGGTGGTGGCAGCATCATGCTGTGGGGATGTTTTTCAGTGGCAGGGACTGGGAGACTAGTCAGGATCGAGGGAAAGATGAACGGAGCAAAGTACAGAGAGATCCTTGATGAAAACCTGCTCCAAAGGTTCACCTTCCAGCAGGACAACAACCCTAAGCACACAGCCAAGACAACGCAGGAGTGGCTTCGGGACAAGTCTCTGAATGTCCTTGAGTGGCCCAGCCAGAGCCCAGACTTGAATCCACTCGACCATCTCTGGAGAGACCTGAAAATAACTGTGCAGCAACGCTCCCATCCAACCTGACAGAGCTTTAGAGGATCTGCAGAGAAGAATGGGAGAAACTCCCCAAATACAGGTGTGCCAAGCTTGTAGCGTCATATCCAAGAACACTCAAGGTTGTAATCGTTGCCAAAGGTGCTTCAACAAAGTACTGAGTAAACGGTCTGAATATTTATGTAAATGTTATTTTTCAGTTTTTTATTTGGAAAACATTTGCAAACATTTTTAAAAACCAGTTTTTGCTTTGTCATTATGGGGGATTGTGTGTACACTGGATTAAATAGTTTTTTTTCTTCATCATTTTAGAATAAGGCTGTAACTTAACAAAATGTGGAAAAAGTCAAAGGGTCTGAATACTTTCAGAATGCACTGTACATTTATGTATTTTTGCCTCTGCTCTACAATAAAACATATTTGTAACAAACTTCTCATCTCGGTTCCTTTACCACTCTGTCTCTCTCCCTGTCCCCCCTCTCCTTTCCCAGTCCTTCATCCGCCGCTGCCTGGCCTACCGCAAAGAGGAGCGCATCGACGTGCTACAGCTGGCCCAAGACCCCTTCCTCATGCCCTCTTACCGCAAGGCCCTGGCCACCAGAGCCGGAGGGCCTCTGGCGTCAGGCTCCACCTCCAGCGCTTACAACAACAGTGCCTCAAACTGAGGGGCCCAACGCCACTAAATAAGGGCCCCTGTGGGGACCACACCATTCAAACGCCCTCCCGTTTGGAGAGAGGGATGGCAGGACGGAGGGGATGGGGTTAAAACAGCACAAAGGCTAGGGGGTGGAGGAGTAATACCTGAAGTGCCTTCCATATCCCCACACTCCCAGCCCTCCCGCAAAGGCGCAGCGCCAGTCTGTGACTTGTCTGTAGGACCCAATGGCTGCCCACATGCATGCACACACACACCCCATGAAGAAGGAAACACCTTGCTTGGCTTGTCCAGTGGGCTGCATCACAGGGCCATAGGACAATGGCCTGAAGTCACAACAGGGCGTGCGTTGTGCATACCTGTTTGAGAAAACCAAAATGGCGCCATTCTGTTTTTTTCCCCTTTTTGCTTGAATTGTATATATTTCCCAATTGTTCCCCCAATGATGAGCCGTTAACTTTTTTGAAGGGCTTTAATGAAGGTGGGAGTTCCTATTTCTGATGACCAAAGTTGAAAGCATGCCTGGCTGATACAGCACCGTTATGTTTTACACACGTCTAAGAGAAAGAAGGCAGTCGTTATTACTAGGATCGTCACATTTGACTGATTTTCTTGGATATTGGAATGGGTGGGAGTGGACTTTATTTGGATGGCTCAGTCCATATTTTTAAATAACTTTCGGGGGTGGCTACTGTGAGGCTAGAGAGAGAGACTCAGCAGAACCGCATACAAACCATTAAACTGACTTTTGGTATGACTGTGGTTTGTGAGAATATTTTTAAAACATCAAGGAATATGTCAAAATAAGATAACAATTCTCCTTTATTGCAAATTGTGCAATGTCACAATCAAAATTCCAACATAATATATACAAAGTTATTTCAGTACATTGTGAAACCTGAATTCACATAAGCATGTTCTTGTTGTATACCAGAGAAAAGCAGAATAGCCTAACTGGTAATACTGAAATATACAGAGCTAGCTACCATCAAAATCAACAACCCAACCTCATATCAGACGTAATACATGTATTCAGTGCAATGAAATAAAATGTCAGAATTTCTTCTACGAGACACTTCTCACATGGTATTGACAATTGCGTCAGAACAACTACTGACTGTTGCCATTGTGGCAAATATTATTTTACGTAAGGAGTTCTATCATAGGGGGAAAGAACCTGAAAAACCAATCACAGTGTTATGGACATTATGTACTGCCACAAGCCTCCTTGTCTACATTTAAATCCACACCAAGCAGTCGTTTGTAGTAAAAGGATCAAGACTTGTTAAGTGCCGATAAACAAAAGAACATTGTATAATCCCGACGCCAAAGCTTTCGGTGGACACTCAGTGCGCCCCGCGAGTGGGGAGATGAGAACAGACTAGGAAAACATCAGTTCCAACGCATGGTGAAATTAAACCATTTTCAGTAATAGAAACAAACTTTATTAAAATGTGCACAATGTGGCTAGAATTGGGTTGAACCTCAAACACAAAAACCAATTGAAGAAAAATAGGCACAAAACCAGATTAGTGCCTCTAGTCTTGCTTCTGGAGCAAAGTAGGAAGCATGTGATCCATACGAGCACATTCCAGTGCTGCATCTCAGTAGTTCAATGTGGCTTCCTCTCCTAGTCTCCTTCCCAGCATTTGATGCTTTCACCTATCCAGTGTTGTAAGATCTGTACATATGAAGGAAGAGAGACAACCGGAAGCACTTAGCTACTATTAAGATGCACTCCTGGGACATGTTCCAAAAGTCTCAGATGGCTCCCCTTTCATATTTCCTTATTTACCACTACTTGTCTAGGTGGAATTGAACATTTTGTGTACAATTAAAGTCATCTAGCCCTTTCAAATGGTCAATATGGAAATTGGATAACAAGGAAACAATACTTATTGGATTGGAACTCACACCAGGTGTGAATCTCAAAAGTCCTTCCTCACATCTCCTCCAGTCCTCTTCCCACCTTCTCAAAAGGTTTGAGACAGAATTGTGGTTTTAGAAGGGCCATAGTTCAAGGTGTCATCTTCCTCTATCGGTTATAGAACTGAGACGACACCCACGCCAGGCCCCACTTGAGGTTGGTTAACATAAACTTAAGCGCTTTGGTCCACTGCTCCTCCGAGTTGAACTGGGTCTTGATGGAGTAGGAGCCGCCGCTGCCGCCTGTGTCCTCAATCTTGCCCTTCTCCACGTCCATCCTGACCCATAACAGAAAAAGTTGCGTTAAACCTCAAACCCAAGTGTTTGTCTTTATTTCTTCCTCAAGAGGTGTGAAAGACCCTTGTGCAACATCTAGAGCTGCTAACACCAAAATGTTTATCTACAGATTATGTGTACGATTGGAAAGTTAATCAATTAGATCAATGTTTCTCAACCTCCTGGTCGGGCGACCACCACACAGTTCTAGCCTTGTTGTAGCTTTGCACTGATGCAACTAATGTCAAAGCTCTTGAAATCAGGTGTGTCGGTGCAGGGCTACATATGCTTTATCTTGGCCCATCAGTAACTGCACACACACTTGCGTACAGACGTCAATTGTCATTTTGTAGATTTAAATGTGTTACAAAGCCAATTGATGTGTAATGTACAAATTCAGCGCGTACAGTGATGTTTCCCCTCAAAGAAAAGTGCCATGTTTAAATACGAGATGTGGGCATGCAGTTCAACATTGGTAGGTCACATTCACCATTTTGGTCAGTATATTATGGTCTATTATGACATAGCAGAGTCCTCCTTAGATAGTTATTACAGAAGATCACCATCAAATATAGCTACTAAACAAAAACTTGGTTGCAGATCGAGCTGCAAAAGATGCCCCTGTCAAGCTCCTTCATGCTGAAGAGTCCTACACCCGCTACAGGAAGATAATGCTTCAACAGGGAACCTTGTTGGTGCTGCCAGTCCCAGGGCAGGTTGGCATTTATTGTCATGAATCTTGACCTGGAGGCAGCTCTGCAGTGGTCACTAGCTAGCACAGTCATTTAATCTGATTTTAATCCTAACCTTAAATTAATACCAATGATGATTTTTTGGGACAATTTTGACTTTGCCACTGCGACCCATCCAGACCAAGAGGGATTAAACCTGCGTGGTGAAAGACATCTACCGCCATAGCACCAAGATACACAAAAATGTATGCACGCATGACTGTAAGTCGCTTTGGATAAAAGCGTCTGCTAAATGGCATATTATTATTATTATTATGTTGAAGGCAAACAAAAATATAATAAATAGGAAAGTATACCAGTTTCATTTGAGGACCAGGATGTTGACAGCTGTGCCATACAGATTACAAACTAGCTGGGAAGAGATTTTTGATGTACCGATTCCATGGCACAGGGTGTGAGTTACAGTGGGGAGAACAAGTATTTGATACACTGCCGATTTTGCAGGTTTTCCTACTTACAAAACATGTAGAGGTCTGTAATTTTTAGCATAGGTACACTTCAACTGTGAGAGACGGAATCAAAAAAAAAAAAAATCCAGAAAATCACATTGTATGATTTTTAAGTAATTAATTTGCATTTTATTGCATGACATAAGTATTTGATACATCAAAAGCAGAACTTAATATTTGGTACAGAAACCTGTGTTTGCAATTACAGAGATCATACGTTCCCTGTAGGTCTTGACCAGGTTTGCACACACTGCAGCAGGGATTTTGGCCCACTCCTCCATACAGACCTTCTCCAGATCCTTCAGGTTTCGGGGCTGTCGCTGGGCAATACGGACTTTCAGCTCCCTCCAACGATTTTCTATTGGGTTCAGGTCTGGAGACTGGCTAGGCCACTCCAGGACCTTGAGATGCTTCTTACGGAGCCACTCCTTAGTTGCCCTGGCTGTGTGTTTCGGGTCGTTGTCATGCTGGAAGACCCAGCCACGACCCATCTTCAATGCTCTTACTGAGGGAAGGAGGTTGTTGGCCAAGATCTCGCGATACATGGCCCCATCCATCCTCCCCTCAATACGGTGCAGTCGTCCTGTCCCCTTTGCATAAAAGCATCCCCAAAGAATGATGTTTCCACCTCCATGCTTCACAGTTGGGATGGTGTTCTTGGGGTTGTACTCATCCTTCTTCTTCCTCCAAACACGGCGAGTGGAGTTTAGACCAAAAAGCTCTATTTTTGTCTCATCAGACCACATGACCTTCTCCCATTCCTCCTCTGGATCATCCAGATGGTCATTGGCAAACTTCAGACGGGCCTGGACATGCGCTGGCTTGAGCAGGGGGACCTTGCGTGCGCTGCAGGATTTTAATCCATGACGGCGTAGTGTGTTACTAATGGTTTTCTTTGAGACTGTGGTCCCAGCTCTCTTCAGGTCATTGACCAGGTCCTGCCGTGTAGTTCTGGGCTGATCCCTCACCTTCCTCATGATCATTGATACCCCACAAGGTGAGATCTTGCATGAAGCCCCAGACCGAGGGTGATTGACCGTCATCTTGAACTTCTTCCATTTTCTATAATTGCGCCAACAGTTGTTGCCTTCTCACCAAGCTGCTTGCCTATTGTGCTGTAGCCCATCCCAGCCTTGTGCAGGTCTATAATTTTATCCCTGATGTCCTTACACAGCTCTCTGGTCTTGGCCATTGTGGAGAGGTTGGAGTCTGTTTGATTGAGTGTGTGGACATGTGTCTTTATACAGGTAACGAGTTTCAAACAGGTGCAGTTAATACAGGTAATGAGTGGAGAACAGGAGGGCTTCTTAAAGAAAAACTAACAGGTCTGTGAGAGACGGAATTCTTACTGGTTGGTAGGTGATCAAATACTTATGTCATGCAATAAAATGCAAATTAACTACTTAAAAATCATACAATGTGATTTTCTGGATTTTTGTTTTAGATTCCGTCTCTCACAGTTGAAGTGTACCTATGCTAAAAATTACAGACCTCTACATGCTTTGTAAGTAGGAAAACCTGCAAAATCGGCAGTGTATCAATACTTGTTCTCCCCACGTATGTAAAATGACGCAAGATTTAAGACTTTGTACCTTACAAAGCATGTAGAGGTCTGTAATTTTTAGCATAGGTACACTTCAAACTGTGAGAGACGGAATCTAAAACAAAAATCCAGAAAATCACATTGTATGATTTTTAAGTAGTTAATTTGCATTTTATTGCATGACATAAGTATTTGATCACCTACCAACCAGTAAGAATTCCGTCTCTCACAGACCTGTTAGTTTTTCTTTAAGAAGCCCTCCTGTTCTCCACTCATTACCTGTATTAACTGCACCTGTTTGAACTCGTTACCTGTATAAAAGACACATGTCCACACACTCAATCAAACAGACTCCAACCTCTCCACAATGGCCAAGACCAGAGAGCTGTGTAAGGACATCAGGGATAAAATTATAGACCTGCACAAGGCTGGGATGGGCTACAGCACAATAGGCAAGCAGCTTGGTGAGAAGGCAACAACTGTTGGCGCAATTATAGAAAATGGAAGAAGTTCAAGATGACGGTCAATCACCCTCGGTCTGGGGCTTCATGCAAGATCTCACCTTGTGGGGCATCAATGATCATGAGGAAGGTGAGGGATCAGCCCAGAACTACACGGCAGGACCTGGTCAATGACCTGAAGAGAGCTGGGACCACAGTCTCAAAGAAAACCATTAGTAACACACTACGTAGTCATGGATTAAAATCCTGCAGCGCACGCAAGGTCCCCCTGCTCAAGCCAGCGCATGTCCAGGCCTGTCTGAAGTTTGCCAATGACCATCTGGATGATCCAGAGGAGGAATGGGAGAAGGTCATGTGGTCTGATGAGACAAAAATAGAGCTTTTTGGTCTAAACTCCACTCGCCGTGTTTGGAGGAAGAAGAAGGATGAGTACAACCCCAAGAACACCATCCCAACTGTGAAGCATGGAGGTGGAAACATCATTCTTTGGGGATGCTTTTATGCAAAGGGGACAGGACGACTGCACCGTATTGAGGGGAGGATGGATGGGGCCATGTATCGCGAGATCTTGGCCAACAACCTCCTTCCCTCAGTAAGAGCATTGAAGATGGGTCGTGGCTGGGTCTTCCAGCATGACAACGACCCGAAACACACAGCCAGGGCAACTAAGGAGTGGCTCCGTAAGAAGCATCTCAAGGTCCTGGAGTGGCCTAGCCAGTCTCCAGACCTGAACCCAATAGAAAATCGTTGGAGGGAGCTGAAAGTCCGTATTGCCCAGCGACAGCCCCGAAACCTGAAGGATCTGGAGAAGGTCTGTATGGAGGAGTGGGCCAAAATCCCTGCTGCAGTGTGTGCAAACCTGGTCAAGACCTACAGGGAACGTATGATCTCTGTAATTGCAAACACAGGTTTCTGTACCAAATATTAAGTTCTGCTTTTGATGTATCAAATACTTATGTCATGCAATAAAATGCAAATTAATTACTTAAAAATCATACAATGTGATTTTCTGGATTTTTTTTTTTTTTGATTCCGTCTCTCACAGTTGAAGTGTACCTATGCTAAAGATTACAGACCTCTACATGCTTTGTAAGTAGGAAAACCTGCAAAATCGGCAGTGTATCAAATACTTGTTCTCCCCACTGTATGTAAAATGACGCAAGATTTAAGACTTTGTACCTTTCAGCTAAAATTATTGTACAGAATCCTTGACACCAACAAACTGTTGAATATTTGGGGCATACAATCATCGCAGCTCTGTAGAGTTGGTTGAGGGGCAGCTCTTGGGGAACTGTGGGGGGGGATCTTGGATGGTTGGTGGCCTGGTGGTTGGGCCGGTGGCTGATAGGTCGCTAGATTGGGGTCCCCGTTTTGACTTGGTGGTGATCAGGTCGACGTGCCGTTGGGCGGGGCGCTTGACCCTGGTTGCTCCTGTGTGTCGCTCTGGATGGGAGTGTCTGCTAGATGACTGAATGTCATGTAAATGTTGAACGGCTTCACTGCAGGTAGATTGTATGTTTTAATATAAAAAAATTAAAAACAATGATGCCAAGGAGGAACCATTACAGTCAGTCAGACCAGAGGGCAGCCCTCGTTGATCAGTGTCACCCAGGAATTAAAACTGAATGAGTGAAGAATGAATAAGGAAGAGAAAAAAGACTGACAGATAAAGTAGCTTAAATTTCAAGGCCATGCTAATATATTGTCTTGTATTTGTTGCCCTAGCTCTCCATTCTTCGGCCCATCTGATAACGTCCATTCTTTCATGTGGAGGTGAAACGTTGATTTGGGAGGAGTGCAGCCAACTCCAAACTGAAGCCGTGTGAGCACTGCGGCCGGTGCTTTGATCCCAGACACCTTGGGAAACACAGCGAAATCTGTGCCAAGCTCTCCTCCAAGAGCTCCAAATGGGGGTCTATGACTCCACCAAGCACCGGCTCAGGGGCACCGTGGTATGATGCACCAAGGGACCAGAGTCTGTCACTCTTTTGTATTGAACTGACAGTGACTGCTAGACCTGCTGTTGCCCAAAATATGACTTCTACCTTGGAATCTATGAGGGTTCCAAGAAGAAGCAGTACTACTAGGAGGCAGTAGTATTGTATTCAAAACCAACTGTAGTCAGCAGTTCCTCAAATCTACAGAAACACCTGTATTTCTTCAATAAAATCCAAAGAACTCTAAATCGTTTTCAGTCAGATTTGTTACTGGTGCAGGAAAGTAGAGGAAATAAAATATGAAGATACAAATCTGAATATTTGTGTTTTCATGATCTAATAAATGGGAAATGTAAGAGTCTAACCATTTTTTATGAATTGGAAGAAAAAAATATATATATATAGCTGCAAGCAGCAATGAATGGGGTTCACAGGATGACAGAAAAGACACCATATCAGTTGGATAACAAAGCAAGCACTCTATCAGGTAGGACCTATCATCCTTTATGTGCAATCAGCGAAAGCTTTACCATGTTTATCTCTCATTACCACAAGGATGATGCAAGAGAAGTTAAGTCTAGTGCTGTATGTTGTTATCTTTGAATGCAGCAGGTAATGATTCTTAAACTCATTACTTAATGTATTGAGTTTATATACCAATTCGGGGGTCAATTTGAGTAATGGTTTGTTAAGATTTGTGAAATATTTTCAGCATTAGTGTATTGGTATATTGGGATTATCTTTGATGTCTGGACTTTATTTTGTTAAACTCATTAGAAATTAATTTGTTCTACTTACCAAATATGGTTTGAATAAGATGTGGTTTTAGAATTGTTCTCTTAACTGTTTTGTTCTTGACTGCATTTAGACAGGCAGACCAATTCTTATATTTTTTTACTAATTGGTCTTTTGACCAATCAGCTCTGAAAAAGATCTGATGTTAAAAGATCTTATCTGATTGGTCAAAAGACCAATTAGTGGGAAAAGATCAGAATTGGGCTGCCTGTCTAAACATAGCCCTTGTGCATCCCTTTGAGCGTGTCCATTGTGTAGTTACCCGTGTTATGGTGTACATTTGGTAAGGTTTAGGAATTGTATTGATTGCAAATTGCAATACACTACAGGTAAGTGCGTACAACATTAGTTAAGGCAATCGGGATTTTCCAGAGTTTCTCAAGCCAAATTGTCCAGAGGCAACGAGGTGAAAATAAAACATTGGCTGCGTTTACACAGGCAGCCAAATTCTTTTGAACAATCAGATCAGTTCTGAAAAAGATCTGATATGATTTGTCAAAAGTATTTTTTTTTAAATACAAGAATTTGTCTGCCTGTGTAAACACAGCCATAATGGTTAAATTATTATAGGATGTGAATATTGTCTCACTGGTGTTAATGACGTCTGAATACTTATGTAAATAATGTTTATTTATTTTTTTATATAAATTTGCAAAATTTTCTAAACCTGTTTTCGCTTTGTCATTATGGGGTATTGTGTGTAGATTGAGGGGGAAAAAACTATTTAATCAATTTTAGAATAAGGCTGTAACGTAACAAAATGTGGAAAAGGGGAAGGGGTCTGAATACTTTCCGAATGCACTGTACATAAGGTTCACATACCAAATTTCATAGCCCCATGTCCCTGGTGTGATATGGTGCAATCTAGTGGTGGTGTGTGACAATGCAGCAACTAATCATTCTCATTCATTAGAGGCTAATTCATTGAGTCAATATACCAAATCTGGAGTCAATCTGATTTATGGTTCATGAGATTTTAAGTATTTCTAGCATCAGCATATGTGCTAACGTGCATCTATAGGTACAGTGCCGGCATATTTGAATGCAGCAACAATTTTTTTCTCAAAACCATTAAAGATGTAATGAGTCTAAATACAAAATCTGGAGTGAATCTGACTGATGATTCATGAGGAGAAGATTGCATATGTAACGCTAATGCTCAAAGAATGAGTTGTTAATGTTAACCTTGTTTTTTTATATATCAATACCAAATCAGTGTGGTTCATCTTACATGATGGCGATAACAAGTTTAAAGTTGATAGGCCACTGTGGAGTGGATTTAAATGGGCACGTAAATTTCGATTTTTTTGTCAGTCAATAACATTTACATTTTCGTCATTTAGCAGACGCTCTTATCCAGAGCGACTTACAAATTGGTGATAACTCAGCCATCTTCTGACCAATACCTTAGCTTTTCTCAAACTAAGTTAAGACATGTACCATGGGCCTACATTACACATTTGGTCCGTCCTATGGTTCATTAGAATAACATTTAAAAAGTATTTTAGCATATGTGCAAATATGCATCTACTGGTATAGTGTGGCCATCTTTGAATGCATCAACGTTATTTTAAACTCTTTAGGGACTATTGTGATGCCTCAAAGACCAAATTTGGAGTGAATCTGACTTTTATTTAATTTAACTAGGCAAGTCAGTTAAGAACAAATTCTTATTTACAAGAGAAGATTTTGTATGATTATTTTAAGCAATAGCGTTACATAGCTAAACTTAAAATGGTACATCATAATAATGTTAAAGTTGATAGGCCATTGTGGAATTGATTTACAAAAGATTTTGTAAATCGGAATTCCTGATTCATCAATAACTCAGCCATCTCTTTACCAATCTCTTGACTTCTAAAACTACATTTTTCAAAATTTCCAAGATGGAGGAAAATCTATCATGGCGGACCTTATCGGTCCTTGAGGCAAATTTGTTCAGCATGAGGGAAGACGCCTACATACAAAGTTTCAAGTCCCTAGGGCTGCGTTTACACAGGCAGCCCAATTTAGATATTTTTTTCACTAAATGGTCTTTTGGCCAATCAGATCTGAAAAATATCTAATGTGATTGGCCAAAAGACCAATTAGTGGAAAAAATATCAGAATTGGGCTGCCTGTGTAAACGCAGCCCATGTCAAACGGGGCAACAGATATGAGTGTTCCGGAGACATTTGAAACCCCACCTCTTTAAGGAATACCTGGGATAGGATAAAGTAATCCTTCTACCCCCCCCCCAAAAAAAATTGTAAAGTGGTTATCCCACTGGCTATAGGGTGAATGCACCAATTTGTGAGTCGCTCTGGATAAGAGCGTCTGCTAATTGACGTAAATGTGCCCTTGAGCAAGGCACTTAACCCTAATTGCTCCTGTAAGTCGCTCTGGATAAGAGCGTCTGCTAAATGACTAAAATGTAAAATGTAAGTGAGACTTCTTATAACAGCGCCCCATATAGGCCAATTGGTGCCATTCTTTTTGACCAAGTTACTCATGGCCTCTAGTTTGTGTGCCAAATTAGGAAAAAAGTGACCAATCTATGCTTGCGTTATTTGACCATGTCAAGAAAAACAAATCTAAATAAGAAAACAATAACAATAGGTATTCACAGGTTTGCTGTGAACCCCTAATTAATTGAGTTGTATAACTTGCACAAGACTAAAGTTTACCCGCTTAATCCTTTATCTCCGCATAATCCACCGATGATTACAATTCTAATTCGATGACGTCTGCTAGTTGACTGACCTGTAGGGCAGGCAGAATCCCGTGTCTCCCTTCTCCACCTCCTCCTTGAACTGCTGCACACAGTCCAGGAAGGCCACCATGGCATGGTCAAACTTGTTGTCCCAGAAGAAGCGCAGCCCCCCCGAACAGTACAGTGGTAGCTCCTACACACAACAGGAAAGTGAGAGTGGAATGTACCAAATAGAACATAGCCTATTCATGTGAGTTGGCTTGGGCAAGTCTAATGAGTATTGCAAAATAATATTCAAGGGATAGTTCACTTTTTTCACAGCTCTGTAAACATTTTTGTTTGTCTCCATATAGTAGCCAGCGGTGTGTTCATTGTACACTACATGTGAAAGCTTTTAAGTTTGAGACCTTACATGTTCGTAACAATCATTACCTTAGACTTGTCTGTGAGTGACTCCAGGTAAGAGTGGTTTCCATATGGGACCAGGCGGTATCTGCAGAGCGAGATCAGCAAGATATTTACATTACTTTAATGATGACATAATATTGTACAATGTATCATGTCCATTTGGATATGATAAAATAACTGATTCAAATAGTTATATAGCAATTGAAGATAATACTAGTAATTTTAAAACAGCATCGTTTAAGCAGGTATTTGTGGATAGAAGTAACATGGCATAGAGGCCAACATGCCTGTGTGTGTATGAGCATGTGTTCTGGTGATGTCATGTCTGACCTCTGTAAACGTAGCCCCATTTTGTTGGCGAGGGCGTGGAGCAGTAGCACGGTCTGACCCCATGCAGCGTTGATCTCGTTCCACTCTACGGGGACGCTGGGTAGTCGGCCCAGGCGGAAGTTGTTGATGGTGCCAAACTGGCCACTGTGCCTGGGGACCAGAGAAACGTATTATAATTACTACAAACGATCAATGTAAAAAAAATAGTGTTTCGAATTCTACGGACAAGAGGAAGGGTGAGAGACAGAGGCAGCTATGCTTTCATGATAAATACAAGCATGCCAGTGCCACCACTTCAAACAGAGGAGTATTCAAGTAGCTAAACGGACAGAATTTTGGTCAATAATTGATGTGTGTTTGTGCATTGGTGTATTTGAGTGTATATACACTATATACTCTGCATTCGGAAAGTATTCAGACCCCTTTTTCCACATTTCTTTATGTTACAGCCTTATTCTAAAATTGATTGCATATTTTTTTCCCTCAATCTACACACAATACACCATAATGACAAAGCGAAAACAGGTTTAGAAATGTTTGCAAATTTGTTAAAAAATACAAGCAGAAATACCTTCTTTACATAATTATTCAGACCCTTTGCTATGAGACACATAAAAACAATTTAATACATTTTAGAATAAGGCTGTAACGTAACAAAATGTGGAAAAAGTCAAGGGGTCTGAGCTTTCCGAATGCACTGTATACACAAAAGTATTTGGGCACCCCTTCAAATTAGTGGATTTGGCTATTTCGGCCACACCCGTTGCTGACAGATGTATAAAATCGAGCACACAGCCATGCAATCTCCATAGACAAACATTGGCAGTTGAATAGCCTTACTGAAGAGCTCAGTGACTTTCAACGTGGCACTGTCATAGGATGCCACCTTTCCAACAAGTCAGTTCATCAAATTTCTGCCCTGCTAGAGCTGCGCCGGTCAACTTCAAGTGTTGTTACTGTGAAGTGGAAACGTCTAGGAGCAACAACGGCTCAGCAGGCGAAGTGATAGGCCACACAAGCTCACAGAACGGGACCTCCGAGTGCTGAAGCGGGTAGCGCGTAAAAATAGTCTGTCCTCGGTTGCAACACTCACTACCGAGTTCCAAACTGCCTCGAAGCAATGTCAGCACAAGAACTGTTCGTCAGGAGCTTCATGAAATGGTAGAGCAGCCCCACACAAGCCTAAGATCGCCATGCGCAATGCCAAGCGTTGGCTTGAGTGGTGTAAAGCTCGCCGCCATTGGACTGGAGCAGCGGAAATGCGTTTTCTGGAGTGATGAATCACGCTTCACCATCTGGCAGTCCGACGGACGAATCTTGGTTTGGCAGATGCCAGGAGAACGCTACCTGCACCAATGTATAGTTCCAACTGTAAAGTTTGGTGGAAGAGAAATAATGGACTGGGGCAGTTTTTCATGGTTTGGGCTAGGTCCCTTAGTTCCAGTGAAGGGAAATCTTAACGCTACAGCATACAATGACATTCTAGACGATTCTGTGCTTCCAACTTTGTGGCAAACAGGAAAGGGAAGGCCCTTTCCTGTTTCAGCATGAGAATGCCCCTGTGCACAAAGTGAGGTCCATACAGAAATGGTTTGTCGAGATCAGTGTGGAAGAACTTGACTGGCCTGCACAGAGCCCTGACCTCAACCCCGTCGAACACCTTTGGGATGAATTGGAACGCCGACTGCGAGCCTGGCCTAATCACCCAACATCAGTGCCCGACCTCACTAATGCTCATGGCTAAATGGAAGCAAGTCCCCGCAGCAATCTTCCAACATCTAGTGGAAAGCCTGCCCAGAAGAGTAGAGGGGAGGACCAACTCCATATTAAATACATTTACGTCATTTAGCAGACGCTCTTATCCAGAGCGACTTACAAATTGGTGCATTCACCCTATAGCCAGTGGGATAACCACTTTACAATTTTTTTATTTTAATTTTTTTAGGGGGGGGTAGAAGGATTACTTTATCCTATCCCAGGTATTCCTTAAAGAGGTGGGGTTTCAAATGTCTCCGGAAGGTGGTGAGTGACTCCGCTGTCCTGGCGTCGTGAGGGAGCTTGTTCCACCATTGGGGTGCCAGAGCAGCGAACAGTTTTGACTGGGCTGAGCGGGAACTATGCTTCCGCAGAGGAAGGGGAGCCAGCAGGCCAGAGGTGGATGAACGCAATGCCCTCGTTTGGGTGTAGGGACTGATCAGAAATCCCATGATTTTGAAATGAGATGTTCAACGAGCAGGTGTCCACATACTTATGGTCATGTAGTGTATGTATACGTGTCTGTATACGTCTGTGTGTATGTGTCCTTACCAGATGTGGAAAGTGGCGTTGAAGACGTTGGTCTTCTTCAGGCGGTCGAGTTGCAACTGGCAGTAGCGCATCTGGTTGTCCACACTCTTCAGCTCATCATCCAGCTCCAGCTGCTGACGCTTGAACTCACTGTACTCCTTCTGGTACCTGGAGCACACGGACACACACACACACACCAGGGGAGGCTAAGGGATTCATTCATTTGTGAAACTGAATTATATCTGCAGAGAGTAGGGGTCGATTTGGAATTCAATTTGAAGTTTCATCTCTATCCCACTTTTGCCTCATCCCATTCACCCATCTTGCAGTATACAGTCTCAAAATACGCATTTGTGCAAGTTTCCAGTAGGGTGAACGGTGTCCCATTCATTTGTTTACTAAGTGCGTGTTGGTGAGAGCGCGGTTCACAGGCTCATTTGCGGCAGGTACCCTAGCAGTTAGAGCATTAGGCCAGTAAACGAAAGGTCGCCGGTTTAAATTCCCGAGCCAACAAGTTGAAAAATCTGTCAAATTTGCTCCAGAGACGTGGTACTACTATGGCTGACCCTGTAAAACAATTCACTGCACCTATCCGGTGTATGTGACAATCCATCTTTTTGGAGGGGGATTTTGGCATTTTATTACTATGCCCATTAGCTGTTGCAATAGCAGCAGCTACTCTTCCTGGGGTCCACACAAAATATGAAACAAAGAACGTTAATAGACAAGAACAGCTCAAGGACAGAACTACATACATTTAAAACGTCCCACATAGCCTACATATCAACACATACACACAATACCTAGGTCAAATAGGGAACAGGTGTTGTGTTGCTTTATCTGTTTTTTTAAAACAGGTTGGCTGTTCCCTTGAGCAATCTTTGCTGGAAGGGAGTTCAATACAATCATGGCTCTACAGTGCATTCGGAAAGTATTCAGACCCCTTGACTTTTTCCACATTTTGTTACAGCCTTATTATAAAATGGACTTTTAAAAAATTAAAATCTTCACAAAATACCCCATAATGACAACACGAAAACAGGTTTTTGAAATGTTTGCAAATGTATTAAAAATAAAAAAACTGAAATACATTCACATAAGTATTCAGACCCATTGATATGCGACTCAGAATTGAGCTTAGGTGCATCCATTTTCCAATGATCATCCTTGAGATGTTTCTACAACTTGATTGGAGTCCACCTGTGGTAAATTCAATTGATTGGACATGATTTGGAAAGGCACACCTGTCTATATAAGGTCCCACAGTTGACAGTGCATGTCAGAGCAAAAACCAAGCCATGAGGTTGAAGGAATTGTCCATAGAGCTCCGAGACAGTATTGTGTCGAGGCACAGATCTGGGGAAAGGGTACAAAAAAAATGTCTGCAGCATTGAAGGTCCCCAAGAACACAGTGGCCGCCATCATTCTTAAATGGAAGAAGTTTGGATCCACCAAGACTCTTCCTAGACCTGGCCGCCCGGCCAAACAGAGCAATCGGGGGAGAAGGGCCTTGGTCAGGGAGGTGACCAAGAACCCGATGGTCACTCTGACAGAGCTCTAGAGTTCCTCTGTGGAGATGGGAGAACCTTCCAGAAGGACAACCATCTGTGCAGCACTCCACCGATCAGGCCTTTATCGTAGAGTGGCCAGACGGAAGCCACTCCTCAGTAAAAGGCACATGACAGCCCGCTTGGAGTTTGCCAAAAGGCATCTAAAGGACTCTCAGACCATGAGAAACAAGATTCTCTGGTCTGATGAAACCAAGATTAAACTCTTTGGCCTGAATGCCAAGCATCACGTCTGCAGGAAACCTGGCACCATCCCTTCGGTGAAGCATGGTGGTGGCAGTATCATGCTGTGGGAATGTTTTTCAGCGACAGGGACTGGGAGACTCGTCAGGATCGAGGGAAAGATGAACGGAGCAAAGTACAGAGAGATCCTTGATGAAAACCTGCTCCAGAGCGCTCAGGACCTCAGACTGCGGCAAAGGTTTACCTTCCAACTGGACAACGACCCTAAGCACACAGCCAAGACAACGCAGGCGTGGTTTCGGGACAAGTCTCAATGTCCTTGAGTGGCCCAGCCAGAGCCCGGACTTGAACCCGATCGAACATCTCTGGAGATACCTGAAAATAGACGTGCAGAAATGCTCCCCAGCCAACCTGACAGCGCTTGAGAGGATATGCAGAGAAGAATGGGAGAAACTCCCCAAATACAGGTGTGCCAAGCTTGTAGCGTCATACCCAAGAAGACTCAAGGCTGTAATCGCTGCCAAAGGTGCTTCAACAAAGTATTGAGTAAAGGGTCTGAATACTTATGTAAATGTAATATCCGTTTATTATTAATATATTTGCAAACATTTCAAAAAACCTCTTTTTGCTTTGTCATTATGGGGTATTGTGCGTAGATTGATGAGGGGGGAAAAAACAATTTCATCAATTTTAGAATAAGGCTGTAACGTAACAAAATGTGGAAAAAGTCAAGGGGTCTGAATACTTTCCGAATGCACTGTATATAATACTATGTTTCTTGAATTTGTTCGCACTGCCTGTGAGACAGCGTGACAGCCAAAGTGCTTTGGACTTGGAAATACTGTACATCATCCAAAAGTCCTCAGACTGGAGAACGGGCGGAGTCATCTCTCTCCCCACAACAGACAGGTGTTACTCACTGCAGTTCCTCAGTGTCTAGCTGCTGGGAGTGGCTACGTCCCTGGACCAGATCCTCAGCCACGGCGGCCCTCTGCTCCTCCACCACCTCCAGCTCACCCACCAGCAACGACGACTCCTCGCCCAGCTTCTGGAGCTGACCCAGCAGACTGTCCTCCTCCTCCTCCTGCAGCTGGGACAGCAGCTCCAGGCAGTTCCTGGTAGAGGATACACATGTAAAAACATACACACACACAGAGACACAGACAAGGAAATCAAACACACAAACATAAAATACATAGTGCATCCGGAAAGTATTCAGACCCCTTCACTTTTTCCACATTTTGTTACGTTACAGCCTTATTCTAAAATTGATTAAATTATTATTTTTTCCCTCATCAATCTACACACAATACCCCATAATGACAAAGCGAGAACAGGCCAAGAAATGTTCGCAAATTTATAAATAATAATAATAATAATAATTTAAAAAATACCTTATTTATATAAGTATTCAGACCCTTTGCTATGAGACTCGAAATTGAGCTCAGGTGCATCCTGTTTCTATTGATCATCCTTGAAATATTTCTACGACTTGTTTGGAGTCCACCTGTGATAAATTCAATTGATTGGACATGATTTGGAAAGACACACACCTGTCTATATAAAAAGGTCCCACAGTTGACAGTGCAGGTCAGAGCAAAAACCAAGCCATTAGGTCGAACGAATTGTCCGTAGAGCTCCGAGACAGGATTGTGTCGAGGCACAGATCTGGGGAAGGGTACCAGAAAATGTCTGCAGAATTGAATGGCCCCAAAAACACAATAGCCTCCATCATTCTTAAATGGAAGAAGTTTGGAACCACCAAGACTCTTCCTAGAGCTGGCCGCCCGGCCAAGCTGAGCAATCGGGGGAGAAGGGCCTTGGTCAGGGAGGTGACCAAGAACCCAATGGCCACTCTGACAGAGATCCAGAGTTCCTCTGTGGAGATGGGAGAACCTTCCAGAAGGACAACCATCTGTGCAGCACTCCACCAATCAGGCCTTTATGGTAGAGTGGCCAGACGGAAGCCACTCCTCAGTAAAAAGGCACATAACAGCCCACTTGGAGTTTGACAAAAGGCACCTAAAGGACTGACCATGAGAAACATGATTTTCTGGTCTGATGAAACCAAGATTGAACTCTTTGGCCAGGCAAAGCTCATCACCTGGCCAATACGATCCCTACGGTGAAGCATGGTGGTGGCAGCATCATGCAGGGACTGGGAGACTAGTCAGGATCGAGGGAAAGATGAACGGTGCGAATTACTGAGAGATCCGAATGCACAGTACATACACTCAGCTCCATAGTGCGCAGGTCCTCAGACTGGTTGCGAAGGTTCAACTTCCAAGAGTACAACAACCCTAAGCACACAGCCAAGACAACGCAGGAGTGGCTTCGGGACAAGTCTCTAAATGTCCTTCAGTGGCCCAGCCAGAGCCCGGACTTGAACCCAATCAAACATCTCTGGAGAGACCTGAAAATAGCTGTGCAACAACGCTGCCCATCCAACCTGACAGAGCTTGAGAGGATCTGCAGAGAAGAATGGAAGAAACTCCTAAAATACAGGAGTGCCAAGCTTGTAGCGTCATACCTTAGAAGACGAGGCTGTAATTGCTGCCAAACGTGCTTCAACAAAGTACTGAGTAAATGGTCTGAATACTTATGTAAACATAATATTTCCGTATTTGTTTTTTATACATTTGCAAAAAATTCTTTACAAATAACGTTTTTGCTTCGTCATCATGGGGTATTTTGTGTAGATTGGTGAGGGGAGAAAACGATTTAATCCATTTTAGAATAAGGCCGTAACGTAACAAAACGTGGAAAAAGTGAAGGGGTCTGAATACTTTCTGAATGCACAGTACATACACTCAGACAAGGACAACACACGCAAAAATCTGGGCGTTCAAAGAAGCGATCCTCTTTTGACACACAATATTGCTCCAAGCAACAGTATATTTGTCTAAACCCAGCACTATATATTTTGTGGGTCTTTCTTTACTCCTTGCCTAAGCAAATATCTAGTAAAAATGTGTTGCATTGTGTAGACTACCCACGTATAGTTCTATAGTGTGGTAGTAATGTATGACTACTCACTTGTAGTTCTGGCACTCGTTCTCTGTGATGTTGAGCTGTGTGTCCAGGTGGTCTAGCAGGGTTTCTGTGCACTCCTCACACAGCGGGTGGTCTACATCACTCTGGCCCGACATGATGTCAAACAGATCGCTGGTCACCTTCAGCCTCCGACTCAGGTTCTCCATGTTGCCCCCGTCCGATGCTTCTCCAATCAGAGTGAAGCTGTTCGTGCTCTCTGTGGACATCATCCTACACACACAGTTCACACTATGGGAGAATCTCATTGGTTTTGCTCAACTCCTGCGTCCCATCTCCTCTCTTGCCTCCTTTTGAAAAAGGTCAAAGGTTATCGAGGGGAGACTGCGAGGAGAGTGAACGTGGACGAAAATGCACTTGTATGAAATGAGACTCCTCCACTCGTGCGTCATCAGGCAAATTACGTTTACAGGTGTGGAATCCCAAAATATGTGTAAAGTGATAAAAACAAATGTAGCTAGTTGTGCAATACATTTTATATACAAAATAAGTAGCATATTGTTTTTAAACGTTTGCATGCTTTTTTTCCTTCGAGAAAAACGGGGTGTGGCGGGTATTAAAACACTTCAGCGCTTGCCACCACGAGCAGACTCTTTCGTTTGCCTACTAACAAATTGACACTCCACTTGACCACTTATCGGTTTCCGGGTCACGGAGGAGAGAGGACGGACTCTTGCCCAAATGAGAATCTCCCCATGTAAACATCATCCTAGACCCTTCAAACTCAACTCTGGACCTCGAACCAAATGCATTTCCACTGTATTTGTTCCCCTCTAATCATGGACTGATTTAGACCTGGGACACCAGGTGTGTGAAATTAATTATCAGGTAGAGCAGAAAACCAGCAGGCTCCGGACCTCTAAGGGTAAGAGTTGAATACCCCTGTCCTAGGCCTTGAGGGTATGGTAGTTGAGAGCAGGGCATTACACTGTGTAGTCTAAGCAGGACCAGAGCAGGTTGGAAGGTAGTAAGTTAGACATGATGCTACCTTGCAGGAGGGATGTATTTTCTTGCAACTCCATCTTGCTTTGTTTCCACAAAGGTCTCCTGGACGAAGAGATGAAAATTAGAACCCCTTTCAGTGGTTAGAACAAAGTATATTGCTGTGAATCCTGTTTACAATTTATTTATTTATTGGATTGAACCAGCCCAGTCGCTCACCTCTGGTGCACTTTCCACGTCACTGCTTTCTGTCTGTTTGCTTGGCGTCACTGTGACCAGCGGAGCTGGTTGGACAGAAGATGCACAACTCCGATATCCATATCTTCCTCTGTAGCTCTCTCACACACACACTCTCTCTCTAACAAACAATATCTTTCTCTCAAACACACACACTTGGGTAAACATACCAATAAGTTCCTGGATGGTGACACGGTCTAGCACATTGAAGGATGTGTCCAGCTTGAGAGGCTGACTGCAGCGCTGACACACAAAGCTCACCTGCATGGTGGTGCTAGAGGACTTGGAGCCCTCCATAGCAACACTGGAAACAGAATTAACACAGTTAGCCGGCAGTCAAACTACTCGTGACTGGTGGCTTTGCTAGCACAATTTAGCTTAGCTATGGTGAGCAAAATTGGTTGACGACTTGATTAAGTACTCTATTCCAATTCTCTGTTTCACTAATAATAACTTCAAAGTCACTTTAGTATATGATGAAACGGCAGGGGCAGGCCATACAATTTGATAAAAATGGAGCTTGCTTGATGTCGTTTAGCTGCAGCTGAGCATGCCATTTAATTTGCTCGCTAACTAGTACTGTACTTAGGCTGGACAATAGAACGAGTCAAAATTCACCCAAGGCTGAAAAACGGCAATAGAACGTTGGCTAAGCTGGAACACTAGCGCGAGCCCATAGCAAATTAATTAAATCGAACGTTCGCAAAATGGCACAACAAAATGTATCACTTTCACATTACCACTACAATCTGTTCTTAGGACAAAACTGAAGAAAAAAAAACTCGTGTAGAAAGTAAACATCTGCACCTCGATGGTGTCAACTGTGCTTATGTCTGCGTAATGAGGAAAAAATTAAAACTTCGGACTATTTCTGGTCTAGTGATCGATGACAACCGAGCTCGCTGCCCAGACTTACATAATTACAAAGTGGAGATTATCATGATTAAAATGGTGCCCGACTTGAAACAATCCAAAATATACACATTGCAAGATATTTGGCGAAATAGACAGACATACCTATCTTTCCCCTATAGAAAACAATGGGACGACCTCAAGAGTTCCTCAAAAATGCCCTAAAATAAGGACAGTTTTTTCGTGATTACTTCAAAACTACGACAAGCAGCTGGGACATATGGTAATATTATGAAATTGGGCTCCACGGCGGATGCAATGAACTAGTTTTATCAGAAAAAAGCATTGTTAAAAATGTCATGTCTCCAGACTACTGTACCGTCCGTATAGCTAGATAATGTTAGCTGGCTAACAGACGGTACTAGCTCGGAGATTAAATTTCAGTTGCAAACAACATGTCAGAGGCAAAGACTCGTATTTATGTACCTTTCAACAGCATACAAACCTAAGTATTTCAAAAATATATATTTATTTGACATACCTTTAGCGTTTTCTTACCCGTGGACTTGCTTTATTGTTGTTTCTTACGGATATGACGTTAATAACATTGCTCGCAAAATGGAAGTCGTCATTCTGCAATGGGCGGGGTAGTGGTCACGTGTCAAAATAGTTGCGGGAAAACCAAACTGAATTGAGGACAGGAGAATCAACACCACAGGGGAGTGTGATTAGTCCTCTGTTGTTCTCAATCATGACCAATGATGTTTACTCTCAGGTACAGACGGATATAGGGAGGTCGTTATTTGCAGAGGATGGGGCCTTATGGAAGAGGGGAAGAAGTGTGCCATACATAGTCAGGAAGGTACAGGAAGCAATTGATGGGTGGGCATTAATGTGGGGATTCAGGTTCTCTGTAGAGAAAACTCAACTGGTTTTTACCAGGAGGAAGGTGGGAGATTAGGTATGCTTGATGTTATATGGGAGAAACTTGGAGAGGGTGGGGGCCTTCAGGTTCCTTGGGGTATACTTTGACACTAGACTGACCTGGGCAGAACACATTGAGAGAGTGGTGGGAAAGTGTAAGAAGGTGCTAAATGTGATGCGCTGTCTGACGGGGAAGGAGTGGGGGGCTGTGCGTTCCTCATTGAAGATCATGTATGTTGCATTGATCCGATCTGTAATAGACTATGGCAGTATAGCATATGGTTCGGCAGCCCGGACCTCACTGGAAAGGCTAGATGTCATACAGGGGCAAGGACTCAGAAAATGTAGTGGGGTGTTTCGGACGTCCCCATTGGCTGCATTACAGGTGGAGATGGGGGATATGCCATTGCAGATTAGGAGACAGCAGCTGGCAATTAATTATTGGGTCAACCAACAAGGACATGGGGTGTCTCATCCTGCGAAAGGGATTTTACAGGCATGCTGGGAACATGAGCGAAGACAGAACACAAGCTTTGTGTGGGTGGGTAATACCCAGGTGAAGGAGATGGGACTGTATGGAAGGGAGTTTAGTCCAACGGTAGTTATTCCTGGAAATCCATCATGGCTACTCCCACCTCCAGTAATTGATCTAGAAGTGTTGGAGAGACTGCAGAAAGATAGGGAGGGTGTTGATCCATCTGATTTGTTTAAGAGACGTCTGGATACTGTTTATCAGGATTTTGTGGCCATTTACACAGATGGTTCAAAAGATCCAAGGACAGGACGTACTGGGTCAGCATTTGTAGTGCAGGAATGTGGGGTGGAAGTTTAGCTCACGTAGCAGACAATACCTGCTTTATGAGGTGCTACAAACCCATGGCAGGATTAAACAGATGGTTATACAGATAAGATGTACTTGGGTCCCAGCCCATGTGGGGGTGGAGGGGAACGAGGCAGTAGATGAACAGGCTAAACAAGCACTTAGTAGTGGGGATGTTGAAGTTTCAATGAGCAAGGCAGAGGCAAAAAGACTGATATATACAGTGATGGTGCAGAGATGGCAGGAGCAGTGGAATAGAGATAAGGGAAGGCATTTATTTCAAGTACAGAGGAAAGTCGGGGAGGGGAGGACGGCAGGAAGGGACAGAAGAGAGGAGGCTATTTTTACCAGATTAAGGGTGGGACACAGCCAGTTGAAAAATACATTAAATGTGGTAGGAAAGCATCCAACAGGAAAGTGTGATTATTGTCAGGAAACAGAGACCGTGGAGCATGTATTGCTACAGTGTGGGCAGTATCAAATCACATTTTATTTGTCACATACACGTGTTTAGCAGATGTTATTGCGGGTGTAGCGAAGTGCTTGTGCTTCTAGCTCCGACAGTAATATCTAACAAGTAATATCTAACAATTTCACAACATATACCCAATACACACAAAACTAGTAAGGAATGGAATTTAAGAATATATACATATATGGACAAGCAATGACAGAGCGGCATGGACTAAGATACAGTATAATATTATAGAATAGAATACAGTATATACATATGAGATGAGTAGTGCAATATATGTAAACATTATTAAAGTGACTAGTGTTCCATTTCTTAAAGTGGCCAGTGATTTCAATAGGCAGCAGCAGCCTTTAATGTGCTAGTGATGGATATTTAACAGTCTGATGGCCTTGAGATAGAAGCTGTTTTTCAATCTCTCGGTCCCAGCTTTGCTGCACCTGTACTGACCTCGCCTTCTGGATGATAGTGGGATGAACAGGCAGTGGCTCGGGTGGTTGATGTCCTTGATGATCTTTTTGGCCTTCCTGTGACATCAGGTGCTGTAGGTGTCATGAAGGGCGGGTAGTTTGCCCCCAGTAATGCTTTCGGCAGACCGCACCACCCTCTAGAGAGCCCTGCCGTTGCGGGCAGTGCAGTTGCCGTACCAGGCGGTGATACAGCCCGACAGGATGCTCTCAACTGTGCATCTGTAAAACTTTGTGAGGGTTTTAGGTGCCAAGCCACATTTCTTCAGCCTCCTGAGGTTGAAGAGGCTCTGTTGCGCCTTCTTCACCACACTGTCTGCGTGGGTGGACCATTTCAGTTTGTCAGTGATGTGTTCGCCAAGGAACATAAAGCTTTCCACCTTCTCCACTGCGGTCCCGTCGATGTGGATAGGGGGGTGCACCCTCTGCTGTTTCCTGAAGTCCACGATCATCTCCTTTGTTTTGTTGACGTTGAGTGAGAGGTTATTTTCCTGGCACCACACTTCCAGAGCCCTCACCTCCTCCCTGTAGGCTGTCTCGTCGTTGTTGGTAATCAAGCCTACTACTGTTGTGTCGTCTGCAAACTTGATGATTGAGTTGGAGGCGTGCTTGGCCACACAGTCATGGGTGAACAGGGAGTACAGGAGGGGGCTGAGCACGCACCATTGTGGGGCCCCAGTGTTGAGGATCAGCGAAGTGGAGATGTTGTTTTCTACCTTCACCACCTGGGGGCGGCCCGTCAGGAAGTCCAGGACCCAGTTGCACAGGGTGGGGTTCAGACCCAGGGCCTCGAGCTTAATGATGAGCTTGGAGGGTACTATGGTGTTGAATGCTAAGCTATAGTCAATGAACAGCATTCTTACATAAGTATTCCTCTTGTCCAGATGGGAAAGGGCAGTGTGCAGTGTGATGGCGATTGCATCGTCTGTGGATCTATTGGGGCGGTAAGCAAATTGAAGTGGGTCTAGGGTGACAGATAATGTAATGTAATATGTAATATGCCATTTAGCAGACGCTTTTATCCAAAGCGACTTACAGTCATGCGTGCATGCATTTTTACGTATGGGTGGTCCCGGGGATCGAACCCACTACCCTGGGGTTACAAGCGCCATGCTCTACCAATTGAGCTACAGAGGACCACAGGTAAGGTAGAGGTGATATGATCCTTGACAAGTCTCTCAAAGCACTTCATGATGACAGAGGTGAGTGCTACGGGGCGATAGTAATTTAGTTCAGTTACTTTTGCTTTCTTGGGTACACGAACAATGGTGGCCATCTTGAAGCATGTGGGAACAGCAGACTTGGAAAGTGAAAGATTGAATATGTCTGTAAATGCTCTGAGGACACGGCTAGGGATGCCGTCTGGGCCGGCAGCCTTGTGGGGGTTAACATGCTTAAATGTCTTACTCACGTCGGCCACAGAGAAGGAGAGGCCACAGTCCTTGGTAGTGGGCCTCGTCGGTGGCACTGTGTTATCCTCAAAGTGGGCAAAGAAGGTGTTTAGCTTGTCTGGAAGCGAGACGTCGGTGTCGGCGACGTGGCTGGTTTTTATTTTGTAGTCCGTGATTGTCTGTAGACCCTGCCACATACGTCTCATGTCTGAGCCATTGAATTGCGACTCCACTTTGTCTCTATACTGATGTTTTGCCAGTTTAATTCCCTTGCGGAGTGAGTAGCTACACTGTTTGTATTCTGCCATATTCCCAGTCACCTTGCCATGGTTTAATGCGGTGGTTCGCGCTTTCAGTTTTACGCTAATGCT